GAAATCAACAGATATTCTAAAAGACAAAGAAATATTTATATTTTAGACAAATATACGAATAAATCTGACCTTCTTATTGTGTTAGATTTGCAAAAATGAATGGATAGACGACGATTGTTGAGGTTATATAGTGAAGAAGGATTGATTTCTATTGGTTGAAAGTTTGTAACCAATATAAAACAAACGATTCCATAAATAAATAAATTCATCAATGAACGAGTTTTGTCGCTAGAATCGATTTTAATTTTATATTTTGCATAAATGATCAAGAAATATTATTTTTAGAAAAAACCACGAAATTTGATCGTTGGACTTTTTTTCTTTGACAAAAAAATTTTTCGTTTTCTTTTGTTGTTGAGAAATGGTTGAATGTGAATATTTGAAATTATTTATTGCTAATTGTAAAAATGATTATAAACTTAATTGTCGTCGATTACTTTCAGTAAAATTCTTTGGAAAAGAATTTTTTTTTTCTAAATCTATTTTTGTTTTATATTTAGTTTTGTAATAAAACAATGGCTTCATTTTTCTATATGTTAACATATCAAGTTGAACTTGATGATAGAATTTTTTTCACGTCTGTTGAATTATTGAATAAGTATCGAAGATTTTCTTTTTTTTTCTTTGAAATTTTTCTTGGGTTTATAATGAATTTTTTTTTTAAAGATATTTAATTTGTTCAATGATAAAAGCATGTAATTCAATTAGTAAAGATTCAAGTAATCTCAGAAATCAATATGAATTAATTAAAGAAAAATATCTTCGAGAGAAATATATTATTGCTACTGCTTGTTTTCAACTTGCAACACAAATTTGTGTATGTCATTTTTCTTTTCATTATTCATTTCTTCTATCTATTCAAGTAGATATGTCAATGGTGAGACCAAGAAAGACCATATTCTTTCATCTCTTATTTTATTCCGATAAATATTTCTTTTTTGTTTTAATTTCAAATCCTTCAGAAAATTTCATAGCCATTAGAATTTTGAAAAAAAAGTGGGTATCTTAGACTTGTTTTCGAATTCAAATAGGTAGTATGTTATATTATCAAATACAATCTAAAAGAAGTGTTGAAGTATAAGGATGAAAATTTGAACCTATTAGTATAGACTGTGACAGACATTACTATGGAAACATCAAAGATTATATATGAATAACGTCTAGTTATAATATATACTGGTGGAGAGAAGTTTAGAGCAGTTGTATTTTTAAGTTTTCTTCTCGATGGTAATAAATGGCAAGAATCTGAAAAAAGATTTGTATAATTGAAAAGATTCCTGATTAGGGTTGGTAAGCTCGAAGACTCTAACAAAATTGCTTCGCAGAGAATATGTGCAAAATCAAGACTTTCAAAATCAACTTTCTGGTTTTCATTCGAAGCTTTTAGAAACCATAGAACATGTCTTCAGTCACTTCATGACCATCCTTGATTGGACTGCATTCAATTTACAGAAAGCTCAAGAAGTATTTTTCTCTTCTTTTTATTGAAAATTGCAATGTTTTTATTATGTTTGACGCTTTGAGACCTTCTGTAAATTGAATATATTTCGATAAAGGAGGATCGTCGAGAGGTTGGAGACATGTTCTATGGTTCCCAAAAGCTTCGAATAGAAGCCAGAAAACTGCGTTTGGAAGTCGTGGTTTTTCGTAGGGCGTTTATCCAAGCAGTTTTGTTAAAATCTTCTAGTCTACTAATTCTAATCGAGTATACAAATGTTTCTTCAGATTCTTGTTAGCTATTATCATCAAGAAGAAAATTTAAAAATACAACTACTCTAAACTTTTATCCTTCATTATCCTTATTGCATTCCTGCGGGATTAAGTAAAAACGATGGTGAAGAAATTTGCTATAAAATAAAACGAATAAAATTATCTCTTTGTGATTAGTAAGAGC